CGTATGTTACATGTTTGCGAGATAACACGCGAAAAAGTGAAAAACACGTGCACCACGGACAACTGCAAATGCACGTGCGGGTAAGGGTATAAAACGATTGCAACGGCAAGTCAGACATCCACAGTGATAAAAAAACACAAAAGAAATGCCATGACTCACAGTCGAACAACGTGAACGAGCCTTGGGTATGGAACGTTCTGTTGCTCCCGTGTTGCCGTTACAACGTGACAGACAGATGCAACGTTACAGACAGATAAGGCGGACCGCTGACAGGCCAAGAACAGGCAAACCCAGGGTGACCACGCCCCATGATGACCGGTACTTGCGTACCTTGCACCTCCGAAATCGCTTCCTGACAGCGACGTCATCGGCGACAAATGCCTTAGGTCACAGGGTTAGTCGACAGACAGTGGCCAGGAGACTCAGGGCTCATGGAATCAGGGCTTTTAGACCATACAGAGGACAGCTATTGACAGCGCAACATCGTCGTCTGCGATTGAGATGGGCCCGGACTGTACGACGTTGGCAACGACGTGACTGGCAGAGGGTTGTCTTCACTGACGAAAGTCGATTCTGTATGTTTAGGGCTGATGGAAGACAACGTGTTTACCGCCGAAGGGGTGAACGAACGGCGGCGTGTTGCGTGCAGGAGGTCGTACCATATGGTGGAGGGAGTGTCATGGTGTTGGGAGGGACCTGTGGGCAGGAGAGGACACCGCTGGTCATCGTTGACGGAAACTTGACAGCTCAGCGTTACATGGATAACATTCTTCGTCAAGTTGACCTACCATTTCTCCAACAGCAGCCACGTGGTGTCATTTATCAGCATGACAACGCTAGAGCCCATACAGCCAGAATTGTCACTAACTTCCTCGCAGCCAACAACGTCAACGTCCTGCCGTGGCCTGCACGCTCACCCGACATGTCCCCAATATAGAACACCTCTTGGACTTGATGGATCGTCGTGTTCGACAACGACCACACTCTCCAGCCAACCGGCAAGAATTGATCTTGGCCCTCCAAGAAGAATGGCGTCAAATCCCACGTGACCTCATCAGACGACTGACTTTTTCTGTGCGTCGAAGAGTTTTTGCGTGTATTCAGGCATTTGGTGGTCACACACGCTACTAATGACTTGTTATTGAACGTGAGCTATTGTTTATGTACTCTGCCTATTGTCCATGGTTCTGAAAGCTCGAGTTTTGTACCACACCCAACTTTGGGGGGCTCTGACGTCATTCTCGGTCACGGTATGATTGTCATTTTCAGTGTTGATTATGTTGATATATTGATCTTCTCAATACACTTTACTTTATGCATGTATGTTTTGTTATTTTTGAGCAAGAGTTATTTCAAACTCTGGTAAAGTTTCTTTTGGACGTCAGTTTATATACAAGGCCGACTTGTCCGCAGCTAAAAACGGCGGTATTGAGACACATTTCAGGGTGGTACCGTTGGCAATGAGGTAGTACTGGCAGGTTCAAGTCCACCTGTAAATCATCACGTTAATGGGGAACGAGGTTGTCCTCGGTGTTCATGCAATTTGTGAATAGCACTGTCGCTGTGAACAAACTATTTTGGCAGCTGTAGACAGTGAAGACTGTTCGAAGAAGGTCAAATTCAGCCATGTCGAAGTTCGGGGTGGAGAGAATCATTCTAAATATGTATTACTGTGACTGGGGAGATCTTTCAAACCAACAGGTACAAGTAAAACTTTATAATGATTAAAAAAAACATTGATTTAAAAAGTTAGTCAGAAATAAATTAGTTCAGCGTTTATTTCCATAACCTGTCAAACCTAAAATGGAACAAGAAATGTCGATGACATCACAAATAACAATGCAATATAATGCAACAGGTTGTGATGGAATTAAATGTTTAGCTATGGAGGGTTGTTTCATTAATTCTAAAAAAACTGAGTATTTTGTAACTATTGTTTTTAATAAGTCAAGAATATAAATCTTGAACTTGAGAAACTCGTATGGTATGTTTGTCTCTACCTGTGACCTCTTTTCGGCACGTTCTAAAATAGCTGGCCTATTTGCCCCTGTGTGATACGCGTTCCAAGAGAGCACGATTCTCCAATCACTCTTGTTGTCATGGTAGGCTGGATATAAACCTACTGTGTTTTTACATTTGACGTTGTCTAACTGTAGATGACATACCTCTTATTTAGACATTTGAAACTCCGCACCAAAGTACTCAGTTCCAATTATTATAAGAGGTATCTGCAGTTATACTATCTCAAATTAAAAAAAACACAGGTTTGTCTCCTGAGGGACAGACCAAAGCCACATGGGAGAGTCTTAAACAAGCAAAGAAAAAGTAGAATACACATCGGCTTGGGCGTTCTTCTGGGCCAACCTCCTCCAGCGATCCAGGCGAGAATGTATATTCTGCACTACATGCTACGTTAAGTAAATAAAAATACTGTGATAGAGATGTATTTTAATTGATTGGCCCCGATATCTATATGAGAATATTACTAAAATTGAATGTTAGATGTGTTAAACACGCCATCTGTCTACACTTCAGTTGAATTAAACTAACGGTGATCAATGCACAATTCATATATGCCCATTGCCCTAGTTTCTTTCCAGCTGTCACACTACCTGCAGTAAGTGGGTACCTAGATGGTCCTATTAATATAATAATATCTATTAAGCGTGTTCACATGTGACAGTAATTTCCTCGCAAAATATCAAAATTGAAAATTACGTTTGTGTGATTCCTGTATTGATAATGTTTATGGCTGGCTGTGGATGAACATTTTGATGACATATCTATCAGGCCGTGTATGTACGACTTCATTTAGATATATGAACATGTATGTTACTGTCAGTGTGTAAATCAATATATATGCAAACTGACTGAAATTTTCACTTAGACAATTTACAAAACGCCTACATATTTCAGTTAGTTTTCAAATTGACTGAAAATTAAGTCTATTTATTTTATTACAATAGCGAGTTTCAAATAATAAGATGTTTCATTACCCTGTGGATGAAAATGATAGGATTAAAAGAACACGAAAGTCATTGTATTTGTCTTATACAGTTGGAAAGGAGGAATGGGTCACGATGGCCCTTTTCGAGAGTGGTATACACAAACAGAAATAGATGAATACATACATGTTGTGTTGCCATTAATCTATGTAATTTGTAATGTGATAACGGACCTACTTATACAGATGGGTGATACATATTTCATTATGCATATTTCATGATCTACATTGATTTTGATACTGAGTACTGAGATCAAGAGTCCAAGCTCGTTACATGCTTTCGTTGAGCGGTATGGGCCCATCTTGGCCACCTCGTTTTATCTGATGGAACAATATTGGTTTCTTATCTATTTATTGTGTTGATGTCTTTAATAGAGTTACCTTTTCTGTTGCAAGACGTACATTTGTATATCTTCAGCGTCGTAATACAGGTAGATAGAAAACCGTATTGGTGACCATTAAACTTTAAGCAGGATGCATGGAGTCAAGGTGATATAATTGACGGTGTGGGTGTTTATGTGGGTGTTTGTGTTTGTGTTTATGTGGGTGTGGGTGTAGGTGTGGGTGTGGGTGTGGGTGTGGGTGTGGGTGTGGGTGTGGGTGTGGGTGTGGGTATGTGTTTGGTGTGGGTGCGGATTTAGATATGTGTGTGTCGGTGTGAGTATTGGTGTTTGTGTTTATGTGGGTTTGGGTGTTTGTGTTTATGTTTATGTGGGTGTTGGTGTTGGTGTGGGTGTTGGTGTGGTTGTTGGTGTTGGTGTGGTTGTTGGTGTGGGTATGTGTTTGGGTGTTGGTGTTGGTATGTGTTTGGGTGTTGGTGTGGGTATATGTTTGCGTGTTGGTGTGGGTATGTGTTTGGGTGTGGGTGAGGATTTGGATATGTTGGTGTGGGTGTTTTTGTGTATGTGGGTGTGGGTGTGGGTGTGGGTTTGGGTGAGGATATGGATATGTGTGTGTCGGTGTGAGTATGGGTGTTTGTGTTTATGTGGGTGTGGGTGGGGGTGAGGATTTGAATATGAGTGTGTTAATGTGGCTGTTGGAGTGGGTATGGATATATGTGTGGGTGTGGATGGGAATGTGTGTGTGTATGGGTGTGGATATGGATGTATGTGTGGGTTGGTATGGGTGTGGATTTGCATATGGGCGTGAATATGGGTGTGTGTTTGGGGGTGGAGTTGAGTGTATGGGTGTGGATGTGGATATGATGTTGGTATGGATTTTCTATCTGTGTGGATATTTGTGTGGTTGTGGTAGATGTGAGTGCGGTTACGGATGTTAATGTAGATGTTGATTCGGGAGTTAAGGTGCGGGTGCTGGATGGGTGAGGGAGAGGGAGAGGGAGAGGGAGAGGGTGTGGGTGTGGGTGCTGGTGCTGGTTCGTGGTGGATACGGATGTGTGAGTGGGTGTGGGTGTGGGTGTGGGTGTGTTAGTTGGTGTGGCATTAGGGATGGAGTGGTGACTGTGTGTTTGGGTAGATGTGGGTGTGTATATGGGTGTGAGCATGTAAGGGAGAATGGACGTAATAATACACATGTGCATTCTTTGATGACATAATGAACTACGCCCCAGCTTGTCTACCTCATCCTGGGTACGGTCGATGTGTTGTCAGAATGCACAAAGTGTGAAGTAATTATACCAGACCAGGCATCTAGTTAATGGAAACTATTGTTGTCTGTACGTTCGCACCCTCATTAATAACAAGTCCATCCTTCAAACCCCGTGAACAGATCAGCCACGTCTTAAGTTAAGTCAATATTATGGAAAAACTCGCGTTGAAGCAATTTCAATACTAATAGACGGCCGCAAATGTGCTTGTTGTGTATTCTATAATCTGCAGCAATCTCCATTAATAAGTGTTGCATGGCATCAAAGGATACCATCGATCTTAAGCAAGGAAACAAGACTCAGGAATGTTGCATACACGAGGCAGAAGGGGAAAACATTTCTTCCACCGAGAATATATGAAACTGAGTAAATATCAAAACATCTACTTACTTGTAGGATCAACCCCAATCAGCCCCTGGGGGCAGGGGATGGAGGCAAGAATTCCCTCTGGAGTGGGAGGCCAACACGAGACAGTGTCGAAGGTAGAGTTACAATATACCACTCCTGGATCTGAAAGAGTGAAATGTTCATTAAGCATACGTCTGAAGCACGCCTCCTCCTCCATAGCCAGCAGCACAGTAATCGCGTCGTCCGTCACCATCGTTAATCCGTTAATCCACGCAGCGTTAATCCAAAATGTTTGTGTGTTTATATCCTTTATTCATAGTCTCTAACATTGGGATTTGCTGGCGAAAGCCATTGATCACTGATTGATGTTAAGTCATGTGTCACGTTGTCTTCATCAACCTTGTTCGTCTCTTCTAGAAGCCTTCCGCCAATCCCAAACCGGTCGTTGTTGTCCCCCGCTATCCGATTATCCCCATATTCTTTACGTTTGATTAGCTAATACATAAATACAGATTAAGAAGTAAGCAATTATTCTTCCAAGAAGTCAGTTCATCAGCTCAAATATTAGTTCAATAGCAAGTGGTCACTGAGTAATGTCGACGTTACACAACACCATTGGGTAAGAGATTAGTGAAAGTACGCTTGACACACAGTACAAATGTACACAATACATTCACGTCTGAACCAGTCACTATGATACTGATCATGGGACCGGGCAATCTCCTTCAAAAACACTTCCTACCGATATCGTTATTCAACATACACAAAAAAGTTAACCCCGTGAATAATAACTCGTTATGCGTGAATATGTTCAATGGTAACGTCAGCGAATAGAAATCCCCACTGAAAGCTCCGACGAGGTCCTTCACAACACATCCCTGTCATCAGGAGAAGTACTATGGAGCATATCACCGATGTACCCTGTATCTGGACAGTTCTAAGCGCTCAAGGGTGTTCCAGAAATCAATGAATCCTTTGTCAAAAGACTCCCTATGCATTGCTGAGTTGAATTCAGTAACTGACAGGCGCTTCAGTGACTCACAGGTGATGTGTACCTCAGCTGGTATATGTATACAGATGTTCTCGACAGTTGCTGTGACTATCGATCGTTTTTGCGTGACGTGAAAAGTAACCACCCAGTCACATCACACATGAAATGTTCACATGAAAGGCCTACAGTGAAGATTCTTATATATATTTGTCTGTCGCAAACTGGCACAGGTACATGTTCCTCTCACACAGGTAAAACCGTATGACAATGTCACGAATCCATACCAAATTACCCTAATGGGGTTTTAAAGTCTTCACGAGAATTCCGTAATATATGACGTAAGGTTCTTATAACCAGTGAGTGTTGTATTGTGAGTATTCAATCAAACATGAGGTGAAGCCATGCCAATACTGCATGTAAGCTCTTGGTGGGCGTCCTGCTTGAATACTCCTGGGATGATTATAATACATACATCTACTTAAAGATTATTTTGCAAATTGTTATGAAAGGTTTCAACAATAACCTTTCCGTCAGTAAGATATCCCAAAGTAAGTAAATCCAGGGGCATCTTTGTTCCTTGAAAAGAAGTACCTCCTCTTGACATTTGTGTCAGGGGACGTGATCTAGAATACCTCTTCTACTTTACACAATAATGAGATGTTAGCTACCGAAGCCATCACTGACTTCTCTCCTCCGTGGAAGAAATACAAAGTTGTCCGTAGCGGTTTTGTCAGTAAGTTAATGGCAATTCACAAGGGATCAATACTTCCTTGGATGGGCTTGATAGTAGCATGTGCATCTCCACCACCTTGTTAATAGCACATTGCGTTTACAAAACACCGACTTGGGCTGTCACAGTTCTTACTAAAGGAATACAAAACTCAATCGCTAAAAAGCAAAACAAGCTCAATCAGATTGGCAAACCAGAGACACTTCATTAAGCATCCATCCATGTTCACTGCGGGAGAAAACCGGCGTTAACACTGACAGTGAGTGGCAATTCTCTTTGCTTATCCACATAAAAAGCTATTGCATGAGCAGATCTCGCTGATCCTCTCCTCTGATAACTAAGCAGTTCAACCCAGGTGTGATCGGAATCTACGCTTTCTAAACCAATTGACATCGAAAGTGAAATCTCATCAGCTTCGTGGTCATCAATGTTAACTCACTTTGTCATAACCGGCTCAGGATTGAAAACACATTTCCCCCATTGATTTATCACACAAGATGTCACTAGAAGTAACTTTCTCCATTCCATGCATGTAAGTCAGTAAGAAAACGTGTCCTCCTTCAATTGCGTAAGGAACAAGTGACAAGCAACTACCTCCGTTTAACGACACAGTGATTGGAGCTGTTTCCAATACGTATTGCCTCCTGTCTTTAAAAGTGACAGCAATATTGATGTCACACATACATATGATCCAAAAGATCCACGACGTAAAACCACGGAATATCAATACGACGAAAATAGAGGCAACACGTCCTCCCAAAACAGTAATCTTCACATTGTCAAGTGATGCCAATTGGTTGTCGAGATTATTCAAGTGTTGTATACCTTCCTTGCAGATACGTGCTTCGTCAAAAATGCAGTTATCAATCCCACAGCCTTACATTCAACGTCAAGTCTGTGCAGCGCTTCAGACCAGGCTGGGTTAAGGCAGCTGCATCAGCCGCGTTGCCAGCTTCATGTTCATCTGGAATATGATATTCGCTCTCCGTAACTGATATACTGATATATGATGTATTGTATTTTTCCCGGAACATTAAATAAAATATTATTGGGATTGCAAAACCCTAAGCTGGCATACGCTAAAAAGACATGGTAATAGTCACGTGGGACAACTGTAGACTTTAAGGAATTTCTTCAACATTACCGTAAAATTATAACAATTATGAAACACTATGATTTTCAGTCAAGGAGCTCCATAATAGTCTCAAAAGTTAATAGTCAGATATCTCAGTACAATAGTTACAATTTATATTGAAATAAGTATTTTGTTGGATTTACCCCCAGGTAAATGTTAACCACTTCAGAAGTGAATGGGAGTATTAATCTTTGCTAATTTGCCATACTGTTAGCAGTAAATAAGCCGCTTATGAGGCCACACTTAAACAAAATTTAAGGAGTAATCGGAGCTGGCTGAATATACCTTTACCATATTAGCGTTATTGATCCATATACAATGGACAAAGTACTCCTCTACTGAAAGAAACGTGACTCCATAATCAGCCTTTAGATATCCAGTTAATGCTAGTATTACATTAGGAGCGGAGTTGTTATTCCTTGAAGGAATATTCTTGCCTGGATAAGTATATTCGCTTGTTCATTTTAAATTCCTGACATGTTCCGTAAAATGGTAAATCTTGAATAATTCAGTTCAGAACGGTAGAACGGGGGCTTGTATAATAATAACTGGCTGCACAATTCAGGAATCGTTCACAGTGGCCATATCCGTCATTTTACTCAGATCTTCACGTTCTGAACAAACAGTTTGCATTGGTCTGGTCGTTGTTTGTGTATTCCAACTGTTGTTCATCATACGTGTCATTCACGCATAAGTTCACACACAAACAATCCTGTCATTCTTCCAGTGATATATGAATATATAGCTGACACACTGTGTCAGTGTCCCCTTTTATCCAGTTGTAATCTACATCTGAAGAACCTGGAATGGTAGTCTTCATTCCCCGGTCCAGTCAATGAGGCAGACTTCTGATCGATGAGGGCACGCGTATGCATTAATGATGAGAATGTCCTTCATAGAACGCTGATCTATACTCCTCCCTCTTTACTTGTATGTTTTATCCAATGCCCGCTGCAAGCGGAAAATTCATGGTCGCTGATAGGCAGCTGTGCCTACGTTTTTTTGTCTTTTTGTGACGTTTCCCGCTGAAATAAATGTTAAAGCTCTGGATGTTCTGATAAACGATCGATCACGTTAAGTCTCAAACAACACGTCAGTTTAAGATTTTAACACTCCGACAACATTACTGTCTGCACGGATCTACCGACTCGACGAGATTCCAGTGAAACTCTACTGAGCATGCCGATGTGAAATAAATGTGAAACAAATGTGAAACAAATGTGAAACAAATGCGAAACAAAACAATGAAAAGGCGTGTGGGTTTGTGATGTTTCAGAAGGATTATGATTACACGAGATGTGGAACTAATACGACATATGAATGTGTTTGAACTGTTATTGGATGAAAACCTGTTTACAATAATTTGATCTTGCCGTTGACTAATCGCATTACCTGTTCTAAACGCGCACTGTGTACGTCCCTCAAAGAAACTGGCAAAAAGTAGAAAGGACAGGAAAGCTGCGAAATGACCCTGACGCATATTATACATATTGTAAAAGGAATGAAACTCGATGAGGTATATTGTTTCTAAAGGCTATTTCAGTGACTGGTTTCATTTTTACAAACTAACTATCGTCTCGTAACTTCAAAACGTCAACGCCAGAGAATAATCATTTGCTACGAGGATGGTATATCTACAGTAAACTACGGTTATAACGAACTCAAAGGGACTACTATTTTCAGTTCGTTATAACCGTAGTTCGTTATAAGCATATATAGAGCATAACCACAGCAAATAGTCGGGACTAAAAAGTAAGTTCGTTATATCCGTCAGTTCGTTATAAGTGTGTTCGTTATAACCGTAGTTTACTGTATATATGTATCTTAAGAGAGCATCTTGGCGCAGTAGGCAGCACCTCAAATCAGAGTGAAGAGTTGCGTCCCTTGAGTTATCAGGATCAACGAATCCAAAATTCGCCCCAGATTACCCTTTGTCTTTCAACCCCAAACCCGTGCTAAGGGTTTCCATTAATGGTTAACTCCATGGCTTGCGTCACTTTCCTCTCATATTCAGCGTACTGTAACTGTCATACAGTTCCAAGTTGAAGATCAGGGGTAGAATAGGTCTCCAGCAACCCTTTCTGCCGTAAAAGGCGACTGTGCCTGTCGTAAGAGGCGACTGACGGGATCGGGTGGTCAGGCTCGCTGACGTGGTTGATATATGTCATCGTATCCCAATTGTGTGGATCGATGCTCATGGTGTCAATCTCCGGATTATTTACTGACCGCCGTCATATATCTTGAATAAATTAACCCACCCACTTATAGTTGTCATACGAAGTAAATCACGAACTACTGTCAATGAA